TTTTTTTGTGGTTTCCAGCATACTAATTAACTATAAATATTGCTTTTTGTTAGCTTCATCCTATTTAGTTTATGAAAATAATTTATATTTTTATTCGTTTTTGGTTTAAAAAAAATGGTTTTTCAAAAACACTCTTAAAAAATGATCAAATAAGTAAAATTTAATTATTAACTTTGATTTTAGCTTACTATACAAATTATGAACATTACAAATATGTTTTAAAATATTTCTATAAAGCAAAATATAAAACACAAAAAGTATCGGAAATAGTAAACTGCATGCGTACAAAAGGGCGCCATCGTCGTTTTTTTCGCATTTTGTACGCATTTAACAGCAATCCGTATGTCATCGTTTATTTTCGTTTTTAAATAAACGCTTGTTTCGTACGTAAAAAATTTTTGCGCCGCGATTTTTCAAAATGTCGAGTGTAATTGAACAAAGAACGTGCGTTAAACTTTGTTTACTCAACGGAATTACTGCTAGAAAAATGTTGGAAATGTTGCAAAAAGCCTTTTGTGACGATCACAAAAAGAGTTTTCGAGCAGTACAAGATGCTCAAGTTGAGTCATTTTGAGTCGATTGATTCCATAAAACAAAATTCGCTGCGAGTTCTCAAGGAGTTTCACGAAAATGATTTTAAAGCATGTTTCGAGGATTGGAAAAAAACGTTGGCGTAAGTGCAGTGCATTGCAGTGGGGGATTACTTTGAAGGGAACGAAATAAATTTTGATGAATAAATTAAAATCTTGCATTTTATTGAACCATTCTCTATATATTTTTTTTTTATTATAGAGGTATATACTACAAACTGTATTTTTTACTAATTTTATGGTAAATAAAAGTTTTTTAAACGATTTACACATTTCTTTACGATATATAATAGTATTTGATCATTTATTTATATTTTAGCTGCTAAGAAATTTCGCTATAAAGAACAAACAACGTATGTCTACGACTTTGAAAGCACAAATTTCTTTAGAGCCACTAGATTTCGTTTAAAACCATTTGCAATTAAAGCCAAAGTTGAAATAAGTAACTTAGGAAACTGCGACATGGCTTTGGAGGTTAGTTGATTTTTTAAAAATCTTTATTTAAACATTTTGTGTTTATAATAATATAAATTTTATTACGTTTAATCTTATATTTATGTTTAATTTTTCAGAAAATGACATGTAAAACTGAGATTTATATTAATTTTTTAATTCAAATTCTTATACAATATTCGACATTTTACAGATAAAAAATGCCACATTACACATTTCTGGAGAAAAAGAAAGCAAAATAACAGAGTTGATGCAGTTTCCTCTGTTGTTTTCGTTTGAAGATGGTAAAATTGCAGAAATTTGTCCGTGGCCAGATGATGATAAAACTATTAATATTAAACGAGCTATATTGTCTGCTTTTCAGAATACTATGAGCAGTTTTGATATGGATTATGAACATAAAAATGAAGTATGCAGTTACTTTTATTTAAAAAAAAATAAATAAGAATTTTTATATAATAATTAAACGTAGCCTACTAGCATAAATACAATACTAAGAATAGTTACTCTTACTATTTGTACTTAAAGCTTTGATCAATCTATTTGGCCTGAGTTAAATTTAATTTATTGTATTAAAATAAATTAAATTACAGAGTGATATAGTTGGAAGGTGTAGTACTGTCTTCGGTGTAATAGAAAGATCAAATAGAACAGTAATAGTTAAAAAAGCTAAGGATTTCTTTGAATGTGAGTCCGGACGTACTGGCAATACAGCACTGATAACCGCCCTTCTTTTAAAATCAAAAGGGGTGAGTATATCTAACATATTAGTTATAATTTATTTTAAAACAAATATATAATTACTTTTTAACTAAATAGTTACCCGTAATAGACGACCTGTTTTTCAACTGTGAACAGATTATTGAAGAAGGTATTGTCACAAACGTTTCATGCATCGAATACAGTACATTTAAGCTTTCCGAAAATACACGTATTGATACAAAGACTTATAAAACGAAAGCAGAAGTTAAACTCATTCTAAAATCTGTTGGAAGATTAACGTCATTTACACCTTGTGAGTAAATTTTACACTTTTATGTACCCAGTCTTCACCTACTGAATAACTACAGATTACAAATTTTCTTTGATTAGATGAAATCGTCGAAAGAGATGATCTATTTTATTCTAACCAACCAGAAATGTTCTCTAATTTTGATTTTGAAAAAGCATTAAGGATTTTACGAAATATTTGTTCCGAAATTCATCATAAAAAAACAATTAATCCAGAAACACCAAAACTCTTCTCACGTTTAGTGCAGACTCTTCGTAAAGTACAACCTGGAGAACTACAAGATATTTATGACAAAATAGACAGAGAAGAAAAATGCCAATCATTGTGGCTGAAGTTAATATAAAATTATTTTAAATTAAGATATTTAGTATAAGTGTAACATGTTCGTATATTTTTTCAGAAGTTTACTCAATGATGCATTACCTCATATTGGTCACGAAGGCTCTATCAAAGTAATCGCGAAGAAGATTCAAAATGGCACTGCTAGTAAAATTCAAACAACATTTTGGGTTACTAGTTTGGCTTTCATTCAATATCCCACCGAAGATGCTATTTTATCTGTAGTGGTAAGTAAGTATTATTAATTCTAAATAAAATATGATACAAATAATAAAATATTCAATACGAATCTTTAAATGCTTAAATTAGCCATTGCTGGATTACGAAAAAGCTGGAAAACAAGCACTTCTAGCGATTACTGCAATGTCTCATAATTATTGCATGAAAAATACAAACTGTGAACAATCAGAAGCTATTCAGCAAGTAATAACATCTTTAAAAAGATACTTGAATTATAGATGCAATGTTTATCAACCAGCAGAAATAAAACAGGTAATATACTGATTAATAACAATATTAAATATAGATATTTATATAAATCATATGCAAATACTAAGTTTTTTATCTCAAAAATTACAAGTTAATATTCTCATGATTTCAATAAATACGCCATCTGAACTTTTCTAAATTAATCATTAAAAGTTTCTTGAATAAATAATGTAGTTTTTTCTTGATAGGTAATCGCAGCTTTGAAAAGTTTTGGAAATTTAGGAAGAGTTGGAGGAGCTAGCAGACAAATCTTAGAATGTGCCAAAGAACCATCCAATGAAATTACCATTCGATTAGCAGCAATAGAAGCATTCCGACGAACACCATGCAAAGAAGAGGTTAAACAACAGTTATTAAACATTTTCTCACATCGTGATGAACATGTTGAAGTGCGTATTACTGCTTATCTAGGAGCAATGAAATGTGCAGACAGAGAAGTTGTGAGAAGGATTAAACAAATTTATGACTCAGAAAGGCTCAATCAAAGTACGAATAAAATATTTCTTGAATTCGAATTAATTGTGAAATAAAAAATAAACATCAATTTTCTTTTTTAGTAAAAGCATTCGTTTATTCTCATATGACAAATCTTCAAGAAAGCTCTTCGTCTAAAAAAGAAGATATTAGAAGAATTGTATTAGATTTCCAATTCCAGCCTCAGCAACTCGATATTAGAAAATATTCTCAAAACATCGAATGGTCAGTTTATCAAAATATGAATCTAAATGGAGAATTTGAATCAAACATAATTTATTCACTGGATTCGTTCATACCACGATCGTTCATGACAAATTTGACTTCAGTTTTTTACGGAAATAATATCGAAGTGGGTGTGTTTTGAATACGCGAACAATTTATTATTTTTAAATTAAATCTTTTAATTTACATATTGAATTTATATGTTAGATTGGAGGAAGATTAGAAGGTCTTGATTATTGGATGGAAAGTTTGTTTTCACCGCTAAGAGATTATGGTCATATGTCTTTTAGTGAATTCACCCATTATATGTTTGATGTAAGTAAAAAAAAACCACGACCAAAATGACTGGCTTTTAGAACATCAAATCATAAATATCAAACAAAAATTGATCCACTTTCTGAAAGTGTAAAATATTCATTTACTGTATATCATTTAATCATATAATTGATTAAGAACATTTCAACTTAATGTTATTTATTTTTAAAGATGAAAGAATCTATCCCTTCTGATGCTCGTGGTTCATTTTATTTCAAACATCAAGGCAGTGAACTTCTGTGGCTCATAATTGATGAAAAAACAGACTTCGGCTTGGGAAAAACTGTAGATTACATGAATATTCTATCAGAGGTAATCGATATATTTAAATTTTCAGTATGTTATTTATAAACATTAAACTGTTAATTTTATTATATATAATTTATAGCTTGCAAAACATCAAAAAGTTGATAAGGTTCTTGGTCTTTATTTGGATACGTCTATAATTTATCCAAGTATTTCTGGTTGTGCATTTGTTTTTGATATTGACGGATCAGTAATATTAGGATTAAAGGGAGAAGGAAAGATAGACGTCAGAAAAGCGTCCTTGTCACCAAGTGATGTGGACATTGAAGGAAAATTACGTGTTAGGTAACTAGTAAATGTGAATCTAAGATTTTTACTTTATTAATTCGATATTTAATAAGACACCAAGAAAGACAATTTAAAGAAAAACAATTCTTTCACAATATTAAAAAAATATTGTGAAAAAGGAATTGGTTTTCTTTAATTAGGAATTTAAGAATATTTTTATATTAAATTAATATTATCGAACTTAGAGTAAATGTTTTAAAAATATAGATTATTATTATTATGAATTAGAAAATGCTACTTACAATACTGTATAGAGGTATAAAAATATAGATTACATTTATCAGCACTAATTATTATGTTATGTTTAAAATTTATTTCAAATAGTGTTGCTAGTGAAATGAATATGATTATAAGTTACGTATCACTCTCAAGATCGCCAAGTATAAAATGCGTTATCAAATCTCACGCAGATGTTGGACTTAAGGGAAAATTTTCAATTAAAGATGGACGATTATTTAATTTATATGTTGATCTACCAAACGAAAAATCGGATATTTTATCAATGAAGTAGGTAACTTTTTTATTTTTACTATATTTAAAAATATATTTTGTAATTACAAATTAATCAATAAAAGATATTTCTCGTAGTGTTGACATTATGCAAGTTGATGCATATGACCACGAAACTTCAATCCAACCTTCAAGAAATTTCAATCGTTGCTTAAAACTATTTAGAAAAATATTAGGTTATGATATCTGTACTCAGATAATCCTTCCGAAACATATATTATCATCCCAAGCTCCTTACATTCAATTTAATGGATCTTTCGCAACGACACTATCTCTTTTGAAACAAGATCATGGCATGCATGGTGTCCTATTAAATATCGAATTGCCTGATCGCAATGTAAGATATATAATATTAACTTTAAGCTATTACACAATAAATATTCACAATATTTTAAAATTTTAATTAGAGCTTCAACACAAAGAAATTTAAGATTGAATTCGATATGCAGGGTTCTTCAACTAATAAGAAACATTCTCTAGAGATTGTCAATGTCTATCCATCCAAACCACATAATCAATCGTGGAATATTCAAATAGATATGCAAACACCTTATAAAGAAGCCGAAGCAAAAGGTATGGATTTAGAATATTTCTTTGTAAAACATACTGAATAATTTCGTATGAATGTGATTTGAATATTTCTGAATTTAGTGACGTTAGCTAATGTTCTGGTTTCGAAACTGTTCCAAGTGGATTTGGTCCTTGATCGAAAACATCGTTGGGCTTTATTTGCCGATTTTGAAACTGATTACATCAAAGGAAATATAATTAAGTACAACACAAAGATAGAGTTTCTTTATCCAAACAGACAACCAGTATCACTATCGGGCTCAATTTTACATAGGAAAGAAAAGAAGAACGTATTTGCAATTGAGCTTCACTCTAGAGATCATTCCAGTCAACATGTTCGAGTAATAGGTAGATGGATGTATAAAAATTATAAATAATTTTAAACATAAATTTATAATAAACAAATAAATTCAGAACGACAAATTAATTTTTAATTTATAGTTTATATTTTTACGATTCTATTTAAAATATTAAAATGCCAATATTTTGAAATATCTAAAGACTAATCTATAAAATAAAAGAACTTTGATGTGTACGAGCATTCAAATCTTTAATCTAGATGACAACCTAGACCAGGGATGGCGAATCTTTCTGAGTCCGTGTGCCATATTGTAAGGATACTTAGCTTTAAAGATGAGTGCCAAAGTTTCAGACTTCGAATAATGATATTTAAAGAAATGAAACGAATATGCTTTAATTAGAATAAGTGTAATAAAGCTGTTTGAGAAAAAGGATGATTGAAAAAGATAGATGATAAATCGAAATTGTATGATAAGTTACGTGCCTGATGATTGCTCCTTACGTGTCACTTTGGGCAAGCGTGCCATAGGTTCGCCACCCCTGGCCTGGAATAACACTGCATAAGTTTAATTTCCACTCGGTCATTGTCATCTAGGAGCATTCAGAGGATTAATGTCGAAATTAAAAGACATGTTGTCAGGAATTCTTTAATTTTGACATATTTTTAACATATAACGGGGAACTGTTGAAATGTTTTTAGGATAAAAACATTTCAACTATAGCCTAATTTATCTTCATTGAAAAAAATATACAGCTTAAAATACCGTATCTTCTAAAATATTTATGTTGATATTGCTTATCCGAAAACGAAAGAACAAAAAAATTTGAGACTCGAATATAACGATTTAATAGAAAAATTCCAAAATATATACCGCACTATTATATTATGATTGACTAAAGGAAATTGCATAAAGTAGATATACACTCAGTTTCAAAAAAAGATGCAAGTTAAAGACAACGTGCAATATTAAGAGCATTAAACGGTGCCGACCGAGTGCAAATTAAAATTACGCAATTATGCTATTACTTATTGGCCTATTATCATCACTAGCTTAGACTTATATATAGAATTTTTTTATTTAAGTTTAGAAAAACATAATTGTTGCAAAACTTCAATGATAGATGAATATTCTATCAGAGGTAATCGATATATTTAAATTTTCAGTATGTTATTTATAAACATTAAACTGTTAATTTTATTATATATAATTTATAGCTTGCAAAACATCAAAAAGTTGATAAGGTTCTTGGTCTTTATTTGGATACGTCTATAATTTATCCANAAGTTAATAAAGTAGAATTTTCAGTATTACATTTACTAGTTACCTATTAAATTACTAGTTATATCTATTAAATTTTGCTTTCTATTTGGTATTTTTTTTACGATTCTATTTAAAATATTAAAATGTCAACATTTTGAAATATCTAAAGACTAATCTATAATAAAAGAACTTTGATGTGTACGAGCATTCAAATCTTTAATCTAGATGACAACCTAGACCAGGGATGGCGAATCTTTCTGAGTCCATGTGCCATATTGTATGGATACTTAGCTTTAAAGATGAGTGCCAAAGTTTCAGAATTCGAATAACGATATTTAATGAAATGAAACGAATATGCTTTAATTAGAATAAGTGTAATAAAGCTGTTTGAGAAAAAGGAGGATTGAAAAAGATAGATGATAAATCGAAATTGTATGATAAGTTACGTGCCAGATGATTGCTCCTTACGTGTCACTTTGGGCAAGCGTGCCATAGGTTCGCCACCCCTGGCCTGGAATAACACTGCATAAGTTTAATTTCCACTCGGTCATTACCATCTAGGAGCGCTCAGAAGATTAATGTCGAAATCAAAAAACATGTTGTCAGGAATTCTTTAATTTTGACATATTTTTAACATATAACAGAGAACTGCAGACAATTTTTTTAGGATAAAAACATTTCAACTATAGCCTAATTTATCTTCATTGAAAAAATATACAGCTTAAAATACCGTATCTTCTAAAATATTTATGTTGATATTGCTTATCCGAAAACGAAAGAACAATTAAATTTGAGACTCGAATATAACGATTTAATAGGAAAATTCCAAAATATATACCGCACTATTATATTATGATTGACTAAAGGAAATTGCATAAAGTAGATATACACTCAGTTTCAAAAAAAGATGCAAGTTAAAGACAACGTGCAATATTAAGAGCATTAAACGGTGCCGACCGAGTGCAAATTAAAATTACGCAATTATGCTATTACTTATTGGCCTATTATTATCACTAGCTTAGACTTATATATAGAATTTTTTTATTTAAGTTTAGAAAAACATAATTGTTGCAAAACTTCAATGATAGAACTCTTAATTTGTTATCATAATTACTATTTATAATTTTAAAATTTTATAAATACTATTCTGGATATCTCAAAAAGTTACGATACATAGAAAAATTTGACACTCAGTATTAAAATGTGACTTTAGTTATAAAACTATATATTGGTCCGTCCCTCACCACCCGGCCGAACCCATAATGGGCATGCTACAAGAGGCCTTCTTAGTGCTCACAGAGCGAAAATTGATTTAAAAAAACAACTATATATTGGTTATTTCTAAAAACATAAGGTTGCAACGCTTCCATTCAAGCTGAACTTTTATTAACACATCCGATGTTGTGTGTCTAACTGAACTTCGAATACGTTTCTTTAGGCGATTCACGTATTGAATTTTTTTCCTGGTATAGCAAACCCTTCAAGTGTTTCCACAGGACAGGAAATCTGGAAAACCTCAGACTATTTCATGAGTAACGACTACATCCGTCTGGAAATTAATGATCCAATTTTTCTATGTATCGCGACACTATATAAAATTAACTATATTCATTAGGCTATTCAATATTCAGTAAAGAATTCAAGCATGTTATCTTTAATATCCTTGTCACCAAGTGATGTGGACA